TAATTGCTTGCTCCCTTGGAAGCCAAGAGCTCTGGGTTTGTCTCAAGTGATTGTGCCCTCTTCTCTGAGATTTTGGAGGGACTCCTCACATTCATTTCCATGTTTCATGCTTCTTTCTTTCCTGGTGGGAGATTGCATACATCAAACAATTATCCTTCCTTGGCTATTTAGCCTGTCCTGAAGATGTTTTGTCACCTGCTTTCTGGCACAGCCCTTTGTTTAATAGGGAGGAGATGTTCAGGTGCTGAGGGTAGGTGTCCTGGGTACGCCTTGAGCCTTGGCTCTGTTCAGATCTGGTGGTAATGGCTCAGGAGTGATCTGCTTTCTAACTGCTGCCGGGACAATGATCTGTAAGTCTTTCCCAGCACTAACCAAGTCACAGCCTTGATTTGCCCTGCTGCCCTGGAATGTGCTAACAGCTACAACAAGCAACAGGGGAATGTCCCTTGTACCACACAGCTTTCACATCTGTGAAGGACTCGGGGCAGGATGTGCTGTTCCATCTCACTAATGGGTTTCTCAGTTTTGCATGGCCATCTGCTTCATGCTGGCTCTCTCCTGTCCAGCTCCTGGTGTGCTCCTGCTGCTTTGTTGGCCCCAGCCAACTTGGCTCTCCCTTCACTTTCAAAGGAAAGGCTTGGTCTGGGACCCAGCTCGAGCTGCATGTTGCACCCTGGTTCCTGCGTGTCAACAGTGCTGGCACAGGCGCTGCTGGCTGCCCGCCTGGCAGGTCCCTGGCAGCAGCAGCAGTGAAAAGCACGTGGCTGAATGATCTGACTGATGGAGCCGTCTCCCTCTCTCTCTGCCCCAGATCGGCGGACCATTCTCTGCCCGGATCTTCCGTTTCCACAGACTTTGGCAGCTGGCAGATGGTGACAGGGTGTGGCAGTATTCGGGAGCAGGCAATCCTGAACGCAGACGCCTCTCTCCCTTGCAGCTTCCCGGATGAGTTCTCTAACACTTGCCTGTAAGTGTCTTAAATGCAGGATCTCTCCTTGGGTCTCTCGGCTGCCTGCGAGCACTGCAACTTTATCACTCTGGCACTTTCAGAGAGGCCTGGGAGCCCATAAGAAACTGTTCCATCTTCTCTGCCTCGATGTTTTCTATCCACAAACTCAGTCCCTGAGCACTCTTTGCTTATGCTGAACACAGAAAGAAAACAGCACTTTCTCTGCCTAATGACGGAGGAGCTCTTTGCTTTCTGTAGGAAGAAGAGGTTCTTCTCTCTTCCTCGAAGATGCTGAATTTGGGCATAATTGAGTGCAGTTGAGGATTCATGTTTGTCAGGACAGGACTGCTAACCCAGATTTCTTGGTTTTTGATTTTGCTCACCTACTGGGGTCAGATCCTTGCTGGAGTAAGAGAAGTACTTTCCTTCTGTAACCCAAATTTTGTCTGGGCTTGTGCAGCATCATTTGCAGGTGCTGTGCCTGGCCAGTGCAGAGCCACAGAGACCCTGTGTCCTGCCACATCCTGCCATGTGAAATGGCTGGGAGGCAAATGTTTGTCCCCAAATAGAAATCGACTTCTGGAAGCTTGAAAGACTGGAGATGTGCTTTAATTGCTGTTAGAGGAGAGCCTTGGTTTGTGCCTTCAGGCTGCAAACTCTTCATCAAGAAACTGAAATGGCAGATCAGGATCTGCTGCTAGCAAGCAATGCTAGAGCTGTGCTGCCAGATGCTCAGTCCTTTACTGAGATCTGAGTACGTGCTTTGGAGCAGAGGGCAAGCAGCATGAAAACCCCTGTCTCCTGTGAGACAGGCTGCCTGCCCTGACTCTGTGTGGCTGCGTGCTGTGCTGCTGAACAGACCAGAGCAGCTGCCTTCAACTTACAGTGAAGCTACAAGATCCATGAATTGACAGATCGAAACATTGCAAGAGATGTTGGACATGGCCTGGCCAGGATTTGTTCTTCTCCTTTCCTGAGGACACACTGAGCTGCTCCTGCAGTAGTTTGGAGATGGGCAAGAGAAAAGGGACTGAAGGATGGGCATCTGAGTAGTGACTGCTTTACTGTGTCCTGAGCCTGGCTGTGCTTGGTCACTGCTGATCACCAACAAGGTTGCTGCCCTTGTTGTTGGTTTTAATGTCAGAATAGGGAATTCAGTAGAGAAACGTGAATCAAAGTTGATAGGCCTTAGGCTTATGCAGTTCGGAGAGTGACTGCTTGGGGCAGTGGATTCAGAAGGAGGAGAACAGTGGTGGTGCTTCTCCTGTAGATGCTCTGCCCTCTTCAGCTATTCACTAAAGCTGTGGGTTGCTTGAAGGCTGGGAACTGCTCAACTGAAACTGCCGGGACCAGGCACTGCATTGAAAGGATGAAGAGTTCCCAGCGGTGTTGTGTTATCTTAACCCAGAGGCTCTACCCTCTCTCTGTTCTGCATCAGCCTTGTTTGTTCAGGACTCCATTGTGGATTTATCCCAGTTTTTGCAGCCCAACACAGTATGATTTTTTTTCTTTTAATTCCATTTAAGTTCCCACTTTGCATCTTCACTGGCAGCAGCTCGATGAAGGTATGCTTTTCACAGCCTACTTCTTGTGCTTGTGTGGGGCTTGTCAGGGCTTACTTCGAGCTGGGGCTTTGACAGCCTCCTCTCATCCCGCACCCCGAGCTGCAGGCGAGCGGGCAGGCTGTAGGAAGTGTAGCGGGGCAGAGTGCCGTGGATTTGGCAAGGCAGCGTGACCTGCCTCCGCGGTGAACAGTTCAGGGTGAAATGCTGCAGCCAGTCTGCAGGGCTTGGTGTGGAGCAGTGGCTGGCTGCTTGACCCTGTGCCTTGGAGTGTCTCACTCCACAAAACAAACCGAAAAACCCAAATACAAAATCAGCCTTATAAAGAGGTGTGAGAGCCACAAGACATGGGACCTAACTGCTGCACGCCCTCGCTTACCTCTGCGCGTGACATCTGAGATCGCTGTACTCGGGTGCAAGTAAGTCCTGCCTTCACGGAGTTTATTTTAAATGCTAGCAGGTTTGTGAGTTCCATGTCCTAATTAGGTTGCCAAAAAGCATCACTAATGTGTTTAGATATGTTGTTGCCTTTTTTTGCCCTCTGGCTTCTCTTTATTATCAGACACAGTAAACAGCGGCCTGGTTGGCTGCCTTGGCATCGCTTGCTGTTTATAGGCCTCCCACCATATCCTCTTGCTGCTGTTTCCGGACCGAAGCTGTTGGCTGTGGGTGGTTAACACTTCCATTCAAATGAGCTGTGCCAATTTATAGCCAGCCCAGGCGCTGGAAGATTAAAGAGAATTTTTTATGGGGAAGGTTCGCACTGTGCCCTTGGAGTGACCTTTGAGGAATGTCTTAATCTCTCTGGGAACCGCTGGCACGTCGCAGAGGCACCACAGCAAGGATCATTTGAGGCTGGAGAGCTTGGAACAGCTGCCTCTGTGCCCCAGTGTTGATTTCCCTTGCTCCCTCGGCTAGTCTTGCCTTCCTTCTGCTGTTTTCCCCTGCCCCTAACCAGTGCGTGGATCAGCCGGAGAGGAGAGCAGGTCCCATGGGAAGTCATGCCCTACTCTGTTCCTGCTTGCCGAGAGCAGCCATGCTGGGGAGCAGAAGTAAAGCACTGCTCAGCTGTCCTCTTCCTATGGCTGGAGTGTTCCTTGGGGCTTTTGTCACCTTGTCTGCTCCTTCTCATCCTCCCCTTCCACAGCTGTCTGTGCTGGCACAGGCATGTGAGGCCGAGGCTGGGGCTGGCAGAAGTGAGGGATGGTTGCAAATAGGTTGGAAGCAACTGTCCAGGCACAGCACATGTGGACAGGCTTCATCTGTATGAGGAGGGGAGGGAGCTGGTGTAGGGTCTGATGTCAGCAGCCACTTTGCCAAAGCACCACTGTGTTTATTAATTGCAGCCTTATGAGCACTATGGAGGTGGGAGAAACGGGGGACAGTGGGGTGTGTGAAGGAGGAAACCCCGTGGGGAGCAAGAGACCGAGGCTGCAGCTGGCTCTGTGGGTTGGATGAGGAGGCAGTGGCACCAGCTGCCAGCAGCTCTGTGGACAGAGCCTTTTCAGGCTTGCACTGCCTCAGCCACTGCAGCCCGTTGAGCACCACAGCCCTGTGTCAGGAGTGAGAGCTGGGATGTGGAGAGGGATGGCGGCAGTCACTGACCTCCACTTCTCTCTCCTAGACTGGTGTCAGCGAGTGACCGTGAGTCTCGTCTGGAGGAAGTGCGTTCTGCCTTTCTAGCAAGCTACAGCCGGACCATCGGCCTAAAGGCCGTGCCCCCCAACCCCTCAGGGGCCATCGGTGGCCTCCTCGAGCAGTTTGTGCGGGGCGTGGGACTGAGAGGCAGCAGCACCCTCTGAACACGGCGTTCCCAGACCACTGCCTGGAAAACTGGGGCTGGCGCGTCCCCCAGCAGAGTCCTGGGACCCTCTTCTTGGTGCGGGCACCTGCTGCACCCAGCGCCTGCCGCCTACCCCCCTGCCTGGGGTGGGGGTGAGGGGGCTCCGGCGAGTCTCTGCAGTAAATGACCCGAGCTGTGCCCTCTCCTGCCTCCTCTGTGGGCTGCGGGCGGGGGCGGCGTGGGGGAGCCGCGCTGCCGGGCGCGCCGCTCACTATAAATAGCCCGGCCCACTCTTCGCAAGCGTCGGCACCGAAATAACACCGAGCCGAACCCGGGAGGAAGCCGCCGGCGGGGCGGGATAGGGGCTGAGCCCCCCTGTCCCCCGACTGGAAATCGCGGGCGGGACGTTCCGGTGGAGCCGAGCCCCAGGAGCCGAACACCTTGGTGCCCGGGTTGGTGCCATCGCTGCCGGCAGGGAAGGGCCGTCGTGCTCGAGATGTGCTGAGCCGTGCCTGTGCCGAGCCGCGCCGTGCCCGTGCCGTGCCCGCCCCCGGGCGCGCCTCCTCGGCGGCGCGGGAGGAGGCTGCGCGGAGCATCGGCGGCGCCCGGGCGGGGATGGCGGCTCCGGGAGCGCTGGAGCCGGCGGCCGGCAGCGTGCCGGGCACCAAGGTGGAGCTCACCGTGTCCTGCCGGTGAGCCGGGAGCCGGGCGAGGGAGCGGGAGGGCGGCGGCTAGTCCGTGGACACGGGTGGGTGCGAAGCGCACCGGGATGCGCTGCGGGGCTGCTCGTTGGGTCCCGCTGCCCGCCGCTCAGCCCCTGGCTCGAGGCGTTGGGAGCTGCGCGTTCTCCTCTCTCCCCGGGTAGCTCTCGGTGCCAGGGCGTGTGCCCAATGTCCCTCTACCCTGCTGCTACCCGTCCCGTCCCCTTCCTGGGGTCCCGTGGGATGCTGTCGCCGGGCACGGCTGCGTGAAGCGACCCGATGCCCTCACCCGCGGCTGGGGCGCGGACGGCCCCTCGCGGGGCGATGTTCGTGGGAGGTGGGAGATGCCGGCGGGACGCGGGATGCCGGCGCTGACTGCGAGCTCGGTGCAAGGCAGTGGGACCGGGAACGTGGAAACGGGAGAGGGGCTGCGGGAGAGGGGCTGCTCTGTGCCCCAGCTTCTGGCCAGGGTCTGCCGATCAAGCGGCGGCGGCTGAGCCGGTCTGCGAGCGGCTAAATATAGCCCGTCGGAAGCACCGCTGCGTGCGGCCAGGGGTCCCGCTGGCAGGGTCCCTCAGCATCCTACTGAGGGCTAGCGTCCCTGTGCTGCGGTCCTGGGGCACGGAGCGCCCCGACCAGGGTGGTACCTCCGGCACATCCACGAGCTATGCAAACTCTAGGGCGGGCCGGGGACTGTTGTGCCCTCCCCGCGGTTGAGCCCTGGCTGGCCCCCGCTGCCAGCTTCCCTCACAGCAGGCAGAGGGGCTGTGGGGCCACGGAACCGGGCAGCTCCAGGCAGGGACCGGGGGTCACACCTGGAGACAACCCAGGGCAGCCTTCGGCTTCGCAGCCCCAGGACCCAGCCCAGACCAGAGTGGGCTCTCTCTCCTGCGTGCTGAGGCCAGGGAAGCTGGCTTAGCCCCGCAGCCCCCGGCCGTGTCCCAGCCCACCCTGTGCTGCCGCCCCGGGGGTGCGGGAAGTATCCCAGCAGAGCCGGTAGCATCCCCCGGCACTTCCCGGTGTCACACCGCGCACAGGACGACGATCAATCGCTCTGCCGGTAGGTGTGTCGGGGGATGCCCACTGGCTGCTCAGCCCCTGCTCCAAGTGTCTCCTTTCTTCTCACTTCTGCACCCTGCCATTAGCCAAGCTCCTGCTGCCGGGGCGCCGGCGGCACCGGGGAAGGTTTCATCCTGTAAATGGGTTCCCTGTCATGTTCAATCATCATCAGCGCTGGAGACGCTGCTCGCCGCTTGCTCTGCTGCCCCACCGAACCTTGCAGAGGGAGCCAGCGTGTCTCCTTGGGTGTGCCGATGCTCCTCTCCATGGGTGTCAGCACGGCCTTCTGGCACGTTGCTGACCTATGATCAGGGGGATGGACATGGGGACCCGTTGCTGGGCCAGGTGAGTGGCGCTCAGGGTGGCTCACGCCTGGCTCTTCCCGCAGGAACCTGCTGGACATGGACACCTTCTCCAAGTCCGACCCAGGTGGGTGGCGGAGCCGGGTGGGGGCATGGCATGGTAGACACGGCACGGCACGGCACGGCAGCCTGGCTCTGCTCCTCTCTCCGCAGTGGTGGTCCTCTTTGTGCAGGTCTCGGGGAGCAGCGAGTGGAAGGAGGTGAGCGTGGTCCCCTCTCCTGGCTAATCCCCGGCTGGGTTAAATGGGCCCATATGGCCACCCGTGTCCACGCTAATGATCCCTCCCCGTCCACGCTAATGATCCGGCCCCGCCAGCAGCGCTAATCCCCCACCGGGATTAGCGCCGAGGCAGCTGCGATGGGGACGGGTCCTGGGGGGGGCCGCCCTCACCCCTCTCCCTGCAGTTCGGACGCACCGAGGTGATCGACAACACCCTGAACCCCGACTTTGTCCGCAAGTTCGTCCTCGACTACTACTTCGAGGAGAAGCAAAACCTCCGCTTCGATGTGTGAGTCGGTGGCCAGGGAAGGGCTTGGCACCGCTGAGGGTGGAATAAAGCACCGAGTCAGTAATGAATAAGGATAATAAATAAGAATACAGTGTCGAATAGGATGGGTGGGGAAGCGGGGCTGTGTGCTGGAGCATCCCTGCAGGCACCAGCTCAGGGCTCTGCTCTCCCACACCAGATACAACGTGGACTCCAAGAGCTGCTCCGCTTTAAAACAGGTGAGCACCACCTGTGCTGGGGGACACAGAGTGACACCATGGTGGGTGGGACACCCCGAGGCTGTGCCCTGTGTGGGTGCTGTCGGGACGGGGGACAAGTGCCCCTCAGAGGGCTCTAACCTGCTCTCCATCTCTCCATGCCCCATGGGGACTCACAGAAGGTAAGTGCCTGCCACGCACCAGCCCCTGCTCTGCCCTGGGAACCCTGAACCTGGGAGTGCCTGGTGGGGCAGGATGGGGCCAGAACACTTCATAGGGTTGGCTTTTGCGGGGTAGGATGGGTCTAGGGTGGCCCAAGGGGTCCAGGACAGGTCAGGGCATGGAGGGCAGTTTGGGGGGAGACACAGGATGGGCCCAGGGATGTGGGCTGGCCCTGGGGGCACAGAATGAGTGTAAGGCACATGGAGCAAGCACCTGGGGTACTCCTGGGGATGCACAATGGGTCCTGGGCTGCAAGGTGGCTCTTGGGTCACAATGTAGGTTCAGGAAACTTCGGGTGGTCCAGAGTTAAGTTGGTGGCAGGTCCCATGTGTGCCTTGGGAGAGAATGGATTGGTGGGTGTGGGTGGTGGGGGACTGGGGTAACTGCCCTCCATGGTCTCACAGTGCTTTGTTTGGAGCACAGGACTTCCTGGGGCAGGCATTTGTGGCACTGGGAGAGGTGATTGGGTCCCAGCGGGGACGCCTGGAGAGACCCCTAACGTGAGTCACACCCTGTGGTGAGGTGAGGTGGGAGGGTCCTGCACTGTGTCCCCACCACCTGCTCCACTGGACCCCTCCCTACATGTCCTGTGCTGGGGATTCTGGTCACACTGCCAAGCACCACCAGCTGTGAGACAGAAGCCCCAACCCTAACCTCTCCTCTTGTCCCTGAACTGTCCTCCTTGTCCCCAAGCTGACTGTGTGCCTCTGGTTCCAGGGGTGTCCCAGGGAAGCGGTGTGGAACTATCCTGCTGCTGGCTGAGGAGCTGAGCAACTGCCGGGTGAGTACCTGTGTACCAGCTGCAGTGTGGAGAGGACTGCATGGTCCCTCAGTACAGAAGCTGCTGGTGCCAGGGGTGAGGAGGGGCTGGCAGTGACAGTCCCTGTCCCCAGGACATTGTCACAATGCAGCTGTGTGCCAACAAGCTGGATAAGAAGGACTTCTTTGGAAAATCCGATCCCTTCCTCGTCTTCTATCGTAGCAATGAGGATGGCACGTGAGCACAGGGACCCAGTGGGGCAGACAGGGTGCCAACGTCACCAGACGGCGTGGCCCAACCCTGCCCTGTCCCCCCAGCTTTACAATTTGCCATAAGACAGAGGTGGTGAAGAACACACTCAACCCGGTGTGGCAGCCCTTCACCATCCCCGTGCGCGCCCTCTGCAATGGCGACTACGACCGGTACAGGAATGGGGATGGGGACAGGGACACGGGCAGCCATGGGGCCAGAGCAGGGTATGAGCAGTTCTTTGTGGGCTTGGCCCTGCAGCAGCAGGCAGCTCAGAATTGGGTCCCGATTGGGTTTTTTCTCTTTTGCAACCCAAATTACATAAAGGCATCCCCCTCCTTTCCAGGCCCCCACAATGACCCAAATTTCCTGCTCCCTCCTGGCAGAGCCTCAGGCTGGGCAGGCAGGGCGGCTCTGCTGGAAGTTGGTGGGCAGGGTGCTCACTGCGGGTTGGGCTGTGGGCGTGGGTGTCCCTGAATGAGGGGCTGGAGGGGCCGTGCCAGCCTGGCAGGTGGCTCACCCACTATGTGTATTCACTTTCAGGACGGTGAAGATAGATGTGTACGACTGGGACCGGGATGGGAGGTGAGGGAAGGGACACAAGGCTGCTGCTGAAGCTTCCCAGGGCACTTCTCACCCGTACTGACCCCGTGTTCCTCCTGCAGCCACGACTTCATTGGGGAATTTGCCACCAGCTACCGGGAGCTCTCTCGAGCACAGAGTCAGTTCACAGTGTATGAGGTAGGGTGGTGGGTCAGGGTGAGGGCAGGGTGCACTCCGTGCTGGGACTGACTCACCCCTGTGCCTGCAGGTGCTGAATCCCAGGAAGAAATGCAAGAAGAAGAAATATGTGAATTCTGGCACTGTGAGTGGGGCTGGGGAGTTCCTGGGCCTCCTGTCTTCCAGGGGATGGTGCAGCTCCACCTGCCGTGTGTGCCAGGTTCAGGGGGCTCCAGATCTGATCCCCTGTGCCCACAGGTGACACTGCTCTCCTTCTCCGTTGAGTCTGAGTTCACCTTCGTTGACTACATACGGGGCGGGTGAGTGGGGGGCCGGGAGCCCTCTGGCTCCTCGAGATCCCCCATGGCTGAGAGTCCCGGGGCAAGGACAGTGGTGACAGTGAAGGTTCACCCTGGGGGTGACAAGGGGGCAGTGGGGCTGGGAAGTAGATGCAGAACGGTGGCATGGGGCTGTGGGGTGCTGGCTGGGGAAGGGGGGCCGAGGCAATGGGTCTGGGCAGGGAAACACTGGCACTGTGGGGCTGGGAGATGGTATCCCTGTGCTGTGGGGCCGGCAGCCTCCCTCGCTCTCCCCCTTAAGGACGCAGCTGAATTTCACTGTTGCCATTGACTTCACGGCCTCCAATGGTGAGTGCACCTGGTGTCTGGGGGGTCCCCATCACCGTGGGGCTGGCCATGGGGCAGGTGTGATGGGCACTGTGCCACAGGGTTGCCATCACAGCCCACCTCGCTGCACTACGCGAGCCCGTACCAGCTGAGCGCCTACGCCCTGGCACTGAAGGCAGTGGGGGAAATCATCCAGGACTACGACAGCGACAAGCTCTTCCCTGCCTACGGCTTTGGTGCCAAAGTCCCACCTGACGGCAAGATCTCCCACCAGTTTCCTCTGGTGCGCTCTCCCTGTGGGACAGGGCTGAGAGTGAACCCAGACCTCCTGGCTGTGGGGCAGAGCTGGTCTTGTGGCTGCCCACAGCACCTTGGCGGGGAGGGGAAGCACCCTGGCAATATTCTGCCCCAGTGTCCCACAGCCTGGGGCACACCAGGAGCTGTTGTCCCCCTCCAAGTGCCCCATCTCTGTCCCTCAGAACAACAATGTGGAGAACCCCAGCTGTGCCGGCATTGAAGGTGTACTGGAGTCCTACCTCCAAAGCCTACGCACTGTCCAGCTCTATGGTCCTACCAACTTTGCTCCTGTCATCAACCAGGTGGCTGGGTGAGCACTGGGGCACTGTCCCCTTTGCCATCCCCAAATGCCATCTATCCTGGGACACTCTCCCCTGTGCCATCCCCAAATGCCATTTGTCCCACAGCAGGGTCGAGTGCCTCACACCAGTGGGGTGCTTGAGGGACCCCATCCCTTTCCCCCTTAGGATAGCTGCCCAGGTGACCGATGGTTCACAATACCACGTCCTCCTCATCATCACTGATGGTGTCATCTCTGACATGCTGCAGACCAAGGAAGCCATTGTCACCGTGAGTGCAACCTTGTTGCTCTAAGTGCACCTCATGTGGACACTATCCTGGCTGACACCCTGCCTCTGCTCCACAGGCTTCCTCCCTGCCCATGTCCATCATCATTGTGGGAGTAGGTCCAGCTGAGTTTGAGGGTGAGTTGGGACTTGGGGACACCAGGGAATCGGGATGGAAACATTCTCCCTTCCTCTGGGATGCCAAAGGCATCCAAAGGGCTGGTGTTTCTATCCCCGGTGTTCATCCCACCGAGGCTTGGTGACCCCAGCTCTCACCCCCAGCCATGGAGGAGCTGGACGGTGATGAGGTACGGTTGTCTTCCCGGGGACGGTATGCTGAGAGGGACATTGTACAGGTAACTCTGGCATTGAATCCAGACCTGCCACGGGTGAGAGATGCTCAGTCCCCCTTGCTGAACCCCACAGCAATAGAGTTGTTTCCAACCTGACTGCAAACTTCTTGTCCTCAGTTTGTGCCATTTCGGGACTATGTGGATGACTCCGGCAACCAGGTGCTGAGCATGGCCCGCCTGGCCAAGGATGTGCTGGCTGAGATCCCTGAGCAGCTGCTCTCTTATATGAAGACCCGTGACATCAAGCCACGCCGGGCAGATCCCGAGTAGCTCTTCCATGAGCCATGGGACTGACTGGTGGGGCGACGATATGTTTACCTTTTTTCTGCCGGTGGCCAGGGCTTAACCATGGAGATGTGGCCCCTTTAGGGAGATAATCAGCTGCTATGGTTGGTCAAAACAGGGCTGGGACCCGCTTCTGGCAGTGAGACCACAGGGCTGGACATCCTTGGCTGTCCCTTCCTCCTGCCCGATGTCCAGCAGCAAGGCGGGACTGTCCCTCGACCGCGGCAGTGCGGGCAGGGCCAGCGCCGGGGGAACACGGCGTGTGTGTCCCGGGAGAGCAGCCCGGCGTCTGCCCGGGGGAAGGCTGAGTGCCTGCCGGGGGTCTCGGCGGCCTCGCCCTGCTCCTGCCTGCACCCCATTCCTGCCTGCACCCCGCTCCTGCCTGTGCCCTCCTCCGGCTCCGCTAACCGGGCTGGCCGGCCTGCCCCGTGCCCTGCCGCACGGCGGGGCTCCCCCACCGGAGGGTGCCGGCGCGGAGGGCAGGCGGGTCTCTGCTGCGTTACCGACTGTAAATAAACTGCTCAACCGGGTCTGCCGCCGTGCTGGGGCAGGGGGAGCGGGGAGAGCGAGGGGGACGGGGAGGATCGGTGGGGCGGGGATGGCCAGGGTACCGCGGGGCGTGTTGCCGGGCCGGGGGAACCGGGAGGATCTTGAAAATTGGGGTGATCTGGGGGACCGAGGGGTCCGGAGGGACCGGGAGGACCGAAGGGGTGAGGGGGGCGAGGGGGGCCGGGTTGGGGCGGGGCCGGGCTGTGGCAGCGGGGTCTGTGATTCGAGGCGGCAGATTCGCCACCGTCATCCCGGCGCGCCCCGGCCCGGCCCCGCCGTTCCCACGTGGCTTCCGCGCCCCGTCGTCGCTGCCGCCGCCGCCGCCGCCTTCCCCGCTCCCTCCGTTCTCGCTGCCGCCGGTCCCGCCCGGCGCCGCTGCCCGGCGGTGCCGTGGCGAAAGTGCGGTTGCTACGGGCGGCGCGGCGCTTTACCCAGCGGCCGCCCCGCGCCAGGCGCCGCCGCAGCTCCATTGTTGGGGCCGGCCCGGGCCCGCCGCCGCCGCCGCCGCCGCCGCCGCCCATGGAGCCGCCCGCCCGCTGAGCGCGGCCCCGCGCCGGGCAGCGCCGCCGCAGGGAAGGAGCGGGCAGCGGGGAGCCAGGGCAGGGCGGCCGGGGCCCGGGGAGGGGGCGGGGGGCCCGGCCCGGCCCGGCCTCGGCCCCCCGCGGCCCCGCCATGGGCGTAGACTTCGACGTGAAGACCTTCTGCCACAACCTGCGGGCCACCAAGCCGCCCTACGAGTGCCCGGTGGGCACCTGCCGCAAGATCTACAAGAGCTACAGCGGGATCGAGTACCACCTGTACCACTATGACCACGACAACCCGCCCCTGCCCCAGCACACCCCCCTGCGCAAGCACAAGAAGAAGGGGCGCCAGGCCCGCGCCGCCAACAAGCAGTCGCCCAGCCCCTCCGAGACCTCCCAGTCGCCCGGCCGGGAGGTGATGACCTACGCCCAGGCCCAGCGCATGGTGGAGGTGGACCTGCACGGCCGCGTCCACCGCATCAGCATCTTCGATAATCTCGACGTGGTGTCCGAGGATGAGGATGTTCCCGAAGAGGTGCCCGAGAATGGGAGCAATAAGGAGAACACGGAGACGCAGAGCGTCCCGCCCAAATCTGGGAAGCACAAGAACAAGGAGAAGCGCAAGGACTCCAACCACCATCACCACAACGCCTCGGCCAGCACTACCCCCAAGCTGCCCGAGGTGGTGTACCGAGAGCTGGAGCAGGACACTCCTGATGCCCCACCTCGTCCCACCTCGTACTACAGGTATTGTCCGTGGCTGGGTGCGAGGAGACTCCTAGGCTCGTAGCCTGGGTTTGGAGGCGGAATGCCCATGGCTCCTGGAAATGGCCTCTGTCTGCCTCTCTCAGGTCTCACAGAACTGGCTGTTCCATGGCTTCAGGCTCCTGGGGCTCTGCCTGGTGTCACATCACAGTTCTGAGGAGTCTGTGCACCTACAGAGCTCTCAGTTGCTGCTTAGGTCATTGCCAGCATTGCTGCGCTCTTTCCTTGCTGGAACAGCACCTAAAATCAAAACAAAACCCAAATGTGTCCTTTTGCCTCTCATTCTCTCTTTGGAGGTATGCTGAGATATTTTCAGAGCCCTTCAGCACCAAGGTGTACCTGGAGGATCTGTTTGTGGGCATACTTCTTAATTGTTTTCTTACAGTACTTTGTGAGCGATTTGGTGGATGCACTGGCCCTAGTTAATACCTCAGGCAGGAGTTAACAGAGTCCCCTAACCAGAATTAATGAAATAATGCATAGTTATCATGTCTTGGTTGTGAGCTTATTGCCTCCAGAGCACTGGCACTTGCTGGGTGGCCCATGCAGGCCCCCTGCTTGCACTGATGAGTCTCCAAGGACTGACCTTGCTCCTTAGACTAGTGTTGTTTTGTCTCCAAGCTATTGTTGTTCTGTTGTGCTAGTCAGGGTACAACAGCACCTCCTGCTTCTGCACATTCCTGCCTTGTTCCTGTTTCTTTATTTTGACTTATGGCTCAGATGGAGCTTTTAAGCATTCCCTCAGTCACAGACAAATCCTGGAGTTGGGTCTCAGCAGCTCCAAGCGTGTCAAACATGCCCTTACTTTCCCATGCTGTCCCTTCCAGGTACATTGAGAAGTCGGCAGAGGAGCTGGATGAGGAGGTGGAGTATGACATGGATGAGGAGGATTACATCTGGCTGGACATCATGAACGAGAGGCGGAAGAACGAAGGCGTGAGTCCTATTCCCCAGGAGATCTTTGAGTACCTGATGGACCGGCTAGAGAAGGAGTCCTACTTCGAGAGCCACAACAAGGGGGACCCAAACGCCTTGGTGGATGAGGATGCCGTCTGCTGCATCTGCAACGACGGGGAGTGTCAGAACAGCAACGTCATCCTCTTCTGCGACATGTGCAACCTGGCTGTGCACCAGGAGTGCTACGGGGTGCCCTACATCCCCGAGGGACAGTGGCTCTGCAGACGGTGCCTGCAGTCACCCTCGCGCGCTGTGGACTGCGCCCTCTGCCCAAACAAGGGGGGGGCCTTCAAGCAGACGGACGATGGGCGCTGGGCACATGTGGTCTGTGCCCTCTGGATCCCGGAGGTGTGCTTTGCCAACACCGTCTTCCTGGAGCCCATCGACAGCATCGAGCACATCCCGCCCGCACGCTGGAAGCTGACCTGTTACATTTGCAAGCAGCGTGGCTCTGGGGCTTGCATCCAGTGTCACAAAGCCAATTGCTACACTGCCTTCCATGTCACCTGTGCCCAGCAGGCCGGGCTGTACATGAAGATGGAGCCCGTCAGGGAGACGGGTGCCAACGGTACCTCCTTCAGCGTGCGCAAAACCGCCTACTGCGACATCCACACACCACCAGGTTCTGTGCGCAGGCTTCCTGCCCTCTCCCACAGTGAGGGGGAAGAGGAGGATGAGGAGGAAGAGGAGGAGGGGAAGGGCTGGAGTTCTGAGAAAGTCAAAAAAGCAAAGGCCAAGTCTAGGATCAAGATGAAGAAGGCGCGGAAGATCTTGGCGGAGAAACGAGCTGCAGCACCTGTGGTTTCCGTGCCCTGCATCCCACCCCACAGGTACGACCTGCTGCCCTCCCTGGACTTGGGAGAAATTTCTCCTTTCCTCTGTGCTTTGTGTCCTGTTTTCCATGTGGGCATTATCCTATTCCCCTCCTTAGCTTTTTGCAGAGGTGCTTCTCACTTTGTTGCTGCAGAGGGCTGTGGTAGTTTCCTCTGGGAGTCCTGCAGAGGCAGGGCCATGCACTGCCCCGCAAAGGTGTCTGGGCCCTTGGCAGGGCAGGAAATAGCTGCTGTTAGTTTAACAGTAGAGAATGAACTTGGCCGGATGCATCAGGAAGCAGCTGGAGGTTCCCAGCACTCCTTTCCTGTTGTGCTGACCTCAGGCACTGGAGTAAATGAGGCAGGGAGGAGGGAACTGCTCTCCTTTCTGCTGATCTCTGTTTTCTCCTGAGGCTGTGGCAGGCAAAAGACAGAAGCGTGGGAGTGATTCAGGCCTGGGAAACGGGCTAATCCCGGTGTTATTTTGCCTCTGGAGCAGAGAGGTGTGGGGTCGGGATCCCTGTGCTCTGCTGAGCAGAGCTCATCCATCCCAGCAGCCATGTACTCCTTGCCGGGCTTCCTCGGTGCTCTCTGCCAGGCACAGCAGCAGCTGCGACTTCTTGGCGCTGCCTGCTGGAGCAGGGCCGGGCAGCCACGGGTGCTGAAAGCTGTCTGTGAGGAGGGGTGGCTGGAGAGCACCAGGGCTCCTGCCTGCCAAGGAACACCACGGTCCTGAGGCTGACTCCCCAGTATGAGGCCTCGCCAGGGGTTGTGTTTCTGTCACATTACAAACCGGTGGTTTCATGGCAAAGTGCAAACACTCTGTAGTTATAGTTGCAACTGCTTTGTGCCTTGCTGTTATTGGCTTGTTGGGCTGGCATGCAAATCCCAAAACACCTAAAAGCCTTGCCAGAATTTGTCAGTGTAGTTTATAACTCTGGATGTCCTCAGCAGCATGTAAAAGCACATAAGGGCATTCTAGGATGTTTTTGGATCTCACTGTCACCCTGCAGCAGGCACCACCCAGTTGAGCACAGGTTGGGCATGGAAACATTTGCCTTTGTGGTGGTCAGCCACCAATCCTGAGCTGCTGAGCTCTTGTCCTTCCTGTAGCAGAAGCTGTGCTGGGGCTGTGACCACAGAGCACTGTCAAGACCCTCGGACCCTCAAGACTTATCTCATGTGTACTTGGATAGGAGCACCTGTAAGCCATGGGCTATGCTCTCTGGGCAGCATTCTGGTGACTCGGGAAGGCAGGTCTGCCACAAGGCTGCTGGCTTTTTACCATGGTCTGTTTGTGTCCCAAACTTATGTTTTAGCTCACTCAGGACTTGCTCCATAGCAAGAGTCTCTTTTCTTACATATGGACATGTTGGCAGGCAGTTTGTAGGGTCTTGCTGCTATTGCATTCACAGCAAAACCTACACTGAGCTAGAAGGTGTTAACCTCTCCCCAGGCCTCCCTGTTGGGATTAAGTATTCTTCAGGAGCTGTTGCCAGAATGCCACATGTCTTCCTGTGGGAGCTGTGCTTGGCCAGTGATGGCATATGAGGCTGCTGTCCCCAGTCTCTTCAGCTGAGGCTGATGCAGATTGGGTCATCCCTTGGGAAAAGCTGTCCCTGGGAGGTGTGGAGATGCTGAGGGTTCATGGCTTTGTCTCTCTACTAGCAGGGCATCTCTGTCTAACTCTGCTGAACAAGGCTGTCCCAGCCCCTCCAGACTATCTGCTGTTGTAGGAAGTAAGCAATCCCTTTTGTGGTGTTCTGGGCTGTTCAGGATAGTGTTGGATGGGACATCTGTTGTATTCATGCCTCCTGCTCCTTCCTCATGCTTTGCCAGGGTTTGAGTTTCTCTGGTAACATTTGGCCAGACTCCCCCATCACAGCAAGTGGCCCTCAGCCAGATGAATAATGGTTTTGGGGTAGT